AGGTATCTAAACACGCCCGTACGTACAGAAGCCGGAAGTCCTAACAGACAGGACTTCTGAATTTCACTGTTGTTTCTGCCACTGGATCTTGCCCTTAGTCTAGAGAAAATAAATGAAATAGCAAACTTTTGCTTCTAGGTTTTTAATACAGAGGTCAAGATTCAGCGGGTTGATTAGAACACGGTAACTCTGCCTTTGTCTTTATGTGGCCAACATTTGTTGAAGCACCTCTTGTGGACAGATAGTGTGCTATCCTAGTGCTAAATGTTACAAAAAAAGAAAAGGGGGTATTAGTATCATAAAACTCAATCTCATACCTAACGTCCTCTAATCAACAGAAAGACTGTCCTGACCCCTTGTGTGTGTATATATATTGGATGCATGGTCTTGAGCACAGACCCTTCAGCACTGGCAAGATGAAATTCTTCCTGGGTTCATCTTAAGACTTCTTTTTCCAGAAACGAGCTCATCAAGGACATATCTTCAAAATTCTAGCTGCTAAGAGTTGATAGCTAACAAGGGATTAGGAATTTACCTAAAGCATGCACTATTACAGCTACTGGTTGCTGTCCTTTTCAATTGGTGATTTGCCATGAAAATATTTATATAATAACACTGACATTTCTGCATTCAGACTGCTTGGATTTGCATACCAGTTTTGCCACCACATGACTGTGAGGAAGTTGTTTACACTTTGGTCCTCAGCTGTCTCATCTGTAAAATGGGGATAACCTTAGTATCTACATTATACAGTGGAATGAGGATTAAGAATTGTATTCAAAATTGAATTACATTTTTATAGTTAGTCTTTCATTATCCTACTAAACAGGATTAGGAGTAATTGATCATTTGCTTCCTAGGCCAGTGGAAGTCCAGCTCCTTAAGCCTCTGAGATAAAGCAAGTACTATAATCAGCGTATTGTATCAGTTTTTTATGAAATGGAGTCTTAATTGTGAATTTCTCTCTTTTCAAATTAGATATGAAATTTATTATCTTGTAACATTTTCAAAAGAGAAACACTCTTTAAACCCCTATGTGAATGTCCAATTTAGTTCTTCTAGAAAATTGATTTAAGAAAATTAAAGACAGGTTAAGCACCTGTCATTTCCTGGTGCCATTATTCATAAACTTGAGAAATTGTTCCCTTAATTCTACCAGTGGAGACTCATATGTGCCCTTTAATGCATTCGACCATGTAAGGCAGAAGTAATTAATCAACTTAAAAAATAAAAAGTTTCCCTGACTCCGCATGAGATATTTTGCCCTAGGAAATAGCATGCTGTAGGTCCTCATTGGCACCTTTAAAATCCAAGCAAGTTCCCTGTTTAGACTTCCCATCTGCTATTAGTTCTTGTCTCTCTAGCACAGTTAGCTTTTGGGGAAAAGTGAACTTAAAATGCCATGTAATGTGACAAGACTCTAAGCACAGGATGCCAGCCAATCTCACATTAAAAAACAAAAGACGGAAAAAAAAAAAAAAAAGAAGACGGAGTTTGAATGTGCATATGCATACTTTTTAAATCTATATGACAACGTGGTAGGTTTAAGCACACTAACATACATATAGAGGGAGAGAAGGCCAGAAAATAAATGTACTCTCCAAATACCACTTAATTATGAAATTATGAGGCCTGAGGTGACTGCAGGCCTGGACTCATTATCTTCATTAATTTATGTCTTATTGTTGCAGATGCCTTAGAAATCTCAGCATCTATACATGTAATTTCCTTAAAATAAATGCAATTCACTTTTTTCTTTGTATAATTCTTACATCTTTTACATATGCATATTCTCCCTCCAGTAAATTTAAAGTTCCTGCAGAAGAGAAAGTGTGCCATCTACGTCTTATGGATCTTTCTGTGGTATCTAGATATACATTTGGTGTTACTTAACTGACTAGAATATAAGGATGAAGAGAAGGACATGTGTACCAGAAAGTATTTCTGATATTGAGCAAGATATTGAGAAACAATCCATAAATGGAATATAAAATAATCACAACTACAATAGATGAAGAGAAAGTATAAAGATGTTAATGGAGACGCGGGGGGGGGGGGTTAGGGGAGGGAAGTAGAAAAATAACCGGTTAAGAAAGAAGAAGCCAAGCAAATTTTTAAGGTTGAAGGTTTACTCAAAAAAAATTAGCCATTTGAATATGTACCCCCAAAACATAATCAAATAGAATAAACCAGTATGTGTAAACATGCTAGGAAAAAACCTTTTTAATGCATCACCTGAGTGATTGAAAATTTTAAGCAAAAATATTTATATAACCTGCTAGCTTTACAGTAGGGAAAGAGATCATTTGCTTATTTTAAGATCAAAGTAAGTATAACATATTTAACCCAGGTTCAGAGGGTCACTTTTGAATGAAAAAAATTATGGGATGAAAAAAAAGGAAATAAAGTTTTAAAACTACAAGTTGTACTGAAACAATTGTTTATGAAGAAGATTTTATCCAATGCATAAAATTTTGCTTTAAAATCACCATGGCATTGATTTGGATTTTACTATTCAAGGGCCAATATAATTATTGAGGAAAGCTATAATTTTACTATTTAAATGAATATAGCATATATGGTGACTAAAACTACTAGTTCTCCTAAATCTACACATTAGGGCCTATGTTAAGAAACATGTCATTTTTTTAATTGAAGTATAGTTGATTTACAATGTTGTGTTCATTTCTGCTGTATAGCAGTGACTCAGTTATACATATATATACACATTCTTTTTTATATTCTTTTCCATTATGGTATATCTCAGGATATTGAATATAGTTCCCTGGGCTATACGGTAGGACCTTGTTGTTTATCCATTCTATGTGTAAATAGTTTGCAACCACTGACCCCAACTTCCCAGTCCATCCCTCCCCACCCCCCCACCCCATCCCCCCGACCCCCGGCAACCACAAGCCAGTTCTCCATGTCTGTGAGTCTGTCTCTAAGAAACATGTTATTTTGATTAATCTTTCCTATTCATGAAATAATTAAATAAATCTATTTAAAATGCATGGCAGTTTGAGTTGAGCACATGCCACAAAAAAGACTAACAATGTAAGTGTTAATCGGAAGGAACAAAATACTAAGTCTTTTAAATGGAACTCGAAAAGGAAGTTTAAGTGGAACTTGAAAAGTTATGAATGTGAAGAAACAGCATGTACAACTTCCAATTTCAAAATGGTCAAAGTAAGGATGTTTCTGCTACTCTCTCAAAAATCACATTAGAAGAATACAAATATGAAGCGATAGAAACAGTGGCTTACATGTTGACAACTAGAAGACATCTATAATGCCAAGTCAAAGAACATCGAAAGAAAAAGGGTAAAATGCCTCATGACAGAGGTGAAACCCAAATGCCTGTCAAGGGGATAGCTACGGAAAGCAAATTTTATTCACCCTGTAGAATTTCTGAAAGGCTTTTGAGCTAGTGGTACCCTTTTATTGCAGAAGGAGAGAGTGGAAATGAGTACATTGAAAGTGTCTTCAGGGAAGAGTTAGACCCTCCACTGTCTGTCTCCATCCCTGCTCCTCCAGAACCCCTGCAGGAGATGTAAGGCTATGCTCTGGAGAAGCTCCGGATGGGAGGTGAAGACAGAGCATCAGGGTGAGATAGGGACAGGAAGAGTAAATGAAAGTGAGCATACCAGATGATAAGAACAGCAGTTCCTGACCCAGGCTAGCTCCAAAAAAATTGAACTCCCCTGAGAAACAAACCCTGACGCACATATAATTTGAAGCCTCCTCCCACCAAAGAAAGAAAGAAAAAGAAAAAAAGCCATTTGACCACCTGATTAGCCTATTATCAAATTACATAATTCTCAGGTATTATTTGCAATAAATTCTATGCTATGCATTGGTAGCTAACAAACCATGAAATCTTATGGCTTAGCACCATAAAAGTTGATTTTTCACTCACATTAAGTCCAGTATGGTGGGCGGCTCTCCTCTATCCTGTAGCTCTGCCGTCCGGAATATGTGGCCTCCAGGGTCCTTATGGCAGGGTCTGAGGTGGAAAAGGGAACACACAGACTCTTAACTGTCTCAGTCCAGAAATGACACATGTCACTTTCATTCATAATCTATTGTGCAGAACCATTCACGTGGGAGATGTAGGGGAAGTACATGGAATAGTGGGTGGTCACTAACTTCCTGATAGCTCTGTGCAAACTTATGTCCAGGTTCCTGCAGGACACTTTCTTCCCATGCACAGCCCTAGGGTTTATTTTTTATTTCATTGAATAATTACAATTCGTTTTAAATGTAAAAGCTACTATCTGTGTGCCTACCCTGTGACAGGACTAAGAATACAGAGGTGTATATGGTACAGTCTCTGGTCTCAAGGTTATTCTACCATTTAACCTCTTAGTTCAACATTTGCTTTGAAATAATTTTCAGAGCATTCCCTCTTAGTGGTTATATCAGTATGTGTAAATCAGTGACTAGCTAATCAAAGACTGTAGAAGTTACTGATTTGTTATCAACAGGACCTTGTGTCCCTGTCGCACATATTTAATTTCAGATTATTTCTTCCAAGTCTTTTGAGAACTACTCTTTTCCTTTTTAACTAAAATAATTGTTGAGAGCTCTTTTCTTCTTTATAATGGCAACATGTGAGGATCTCTAATATGCTCCATAGATAAGTAACTGCAAATTCATCTATTTCTCAGTATTACCTTACGATTTATTTCTGATGTTCACTGAAGCAGGTTTTTAAATTAATATGAAATTCTCTATAGAAAGTTTGATAGTATATCAGTTGCAAGCACTTATCTAGGAGGCTCTTATATTCAAATCAGTCTTGCAAATGCATCTCATATTCTTCTTGAAAAAATTTTTTCTCATGTAGATACATTTATCTTAGACATCCTATTTGTTATTTGACTCTCTAAATCTACAGCTTGAACTGCTTATACCAATGGTACGACTGATTTTTAGTACTTGGATTCTGAAAGTATTAATCAATTTTTCATAATGTTTGCTTGCCTTGTGTTTTCTAGAGTACCCGAGTGGCCTTAGACCATCTGGAGTCTGTGCCTGAGAAACTGAGCCTACTAGAAGATTTCAAAGGCTTCAGAGTGAGAAAGAGTTTGGCTTTTCTCTTTCAGTATTTTTATCTGAGTGAAAGCACTTGACATCTTCCTGATGTGCAAAGAAAATTGTAGGGAGGGAGGAAAGACCATAAAACATTGGGGACTCTTAACACTCAATCTTATCAGAGCTTATTGACATTTCTGAAGCCAGCATTGAAAATAATGGAACTTACATATTAGCGCAATATAGGAAAATAGAGGCTTTTACCCTATTACCAGAAGCTCATTTGGCCCCCTAAAGCTTTAACTATAATTTAGTAAAACCTAAGAATTAAAAGGAATTACACATTCCTTTTAATTCTTTTAAAGGAATTAAATGACTTTTTTGATAAACAATTTTAATTTATGAATTATCTTCTTTTTTTAAATTATAAATTTCCAGAGTACTGTTTGTCTTAGAGATACAGTAGTGCACAGGTTATCCCTGTACTACAATATATGAATTCCGATCCACATAGAATTTTAGATTTTATATCCAATGTTATTTATTGATAGAACTCTAACCACAAAGGACTTTATTATCAAGCCAGTTAATTACATGTCGGAATTTACCTACTGTAAATATAACCCTGCCACCCAGTCCTGCCAGACAAGGTCCAGGCCAGACAGCACATGTCCCCATAGGGGTGCATATGTAATGGACAGTTTTAGTGGTTTGTAATTTCTTGACCCTGTATGAACAGAGATGAGAGTTTCTCTTTGAAAACGATTTAACTGTTTATTTCACGTTAGCTTTAAAATATAACTTATATATAGATTCTGCTTAACTCTAACATATTATTTGAGGATATAGTGAGTAAGAAATATAACCAGATCATGCCATGTTGATTTATTAGATGTTCTGATATGATGTAACTTTCAAGGTCTACACTATCTTAAAATTTCATTAAGTGTATTTTGCTAGTTCAGTAACTAAACATTTTTGAGTGGGATCTAGGGTTGAGCTGACACATCTAGAAATCTAGAATATCACTTATAGAATAAAGCCAAGTGTTCCTAGTATATTTTACTAAAGTTTTAATTCTTTCTCATGATTTAATTTCATATTTGCAGCCTAAATCTCTATCAAAGAATTATGAAACCAGTGTTCAAGAAGATGCAATTTCTTTTCACCCTTATATGACCCGATATGGAAAGCAGACAATATGTTACACCCATGTCCTTTCCACTTTTTTCTTCTTTAGCTAATAGAAGTTATCTAAGTGAATGAAAGGCCGGCACCAGAAGGTATTAGAAACAAGTGGCATTTGCCATTGAAAAACTAATGCCTGTCTTATACCAGCATAAAAAAAATAAAGTTTAACCTCCAGTGACAGCTCATTTTTCCCCCAGTGGTCTACATTAAACAGAACGTTCATAAGGGTAATTTAAAAGTTGTGTTCTCTACTATTGCCAAAAAATTTATTATTATTTTTCATCTTATAGGCTAGTGATTATCTACAAATCTAGCTTATATGTGCACACACTCACATAGGAAGGTGCCTATATAGTGAAATTTTTAGGGACAGTGTTTTTCAAATTTCAGAATTGTACTTTCCAGTATTAGTCATTAAAATTGAAACCTTTACCTTTAAAAGGGAAAGGAGTTCGTTAGCAAGTATTATGCACTGCTATGTGGCGGGCAGTAGCTAAGTACTTTACATTACATTTCTTCAAATCCTCAGAGACACCCTATAGATTGGCATTATTTTCCCCCATTTTACAGCTCAGGAAACTGAGGTTTGGGGTATGTAAATTAGAGAAATCTACGATCTACTTCTCTGTGTTTACAGCAAAGCCCATCTGCTTTGCCCTACTGCCTGTAGCTTGAAACCCATTCCATATGTACTCTAAAGCCATCTGTATGATTAAAAAGAGGTCATGTAATCAATTTAATGAAAACAACTAAACATAGCCTTAAATAAAAATACATGAAGCCTTTAGGTTATTAGACGTAGATTATATTTTTCAAAACCCAAAACTTTCTAAAATTCAGTACGCTGTTAACAAGGGTTCAAAGACCTAAGTTCTGTTCTATGCTCATGCACCAGACAAAATCACTTAATATCTCAGGGAATATTTCCTCATCCATAAAATATGAGAGACTTGAACAATATTATCTCTGTCGTTCCTCCTCACACCGGCATCACTAGCATATATGTGAAAATGCATTTCACATATTTTTTTGGCAATACTGTAGTCTGTGACTCTTAAGTATGAATACAAACCTCAACTTATTTAGATGGTTTTGACTTTATTCTTATTTAAAGGTGTCATAGTCTCTCTCTCTCATTTTTTACCCCCTTATGGAAGAAGTGATTCAACTCGACAGTCCTACATTTAAACATTACATATTTGATATGGAGGAGAGGGAATAGCACTGGGTTCCAAGCCCAGTTTGCCGCAAATTGCCTAGCCTTGGACAGGTCATTCTTAACTTACCTGGGCTGTAACTGTTTTTTTTTTTAATAAAAATGGGAACTTTGGAATTCTAATACCCCTTCCAGTTTGAACATTCAAAAAGTTCTTTGGGGCTATTTGGGGAACTAAATCCCATAGATGATTTTTCTTACATATGAAAATCAGTTGCCCTAACTCTATTCTAATTTCTCCCTAATTCATAATAGAAATGTCTAAAAAACTGGCTGTGGTGACTTATTTGCTGTGTTCTATCCTCTCTCCCCAGAATGAAGGAAAAATAGAAAGGAAGGAAGGCAGGCCCTGGAAATTTTTTCTGTCTTAATTTATTACCTGAATTTTTTTATGCTTTTGAGGGCAGATGAGCTATCCTTAGGTTTAAAAATCTACGTGATGTAATAGTTAAAAGTCAAAATGTTGAACAAAGAGTATATTTTGATGCCAGGTACTATTCCAAGGGATAGTATATAACATCCAAAAGTGGCATGGTATCATTAAGTTCCATCTTTGGACAACTCACTGTTAATTAAACCTTTTTGCCTTCCTTCAGCTAAAGGAAGGAAGTCATTTCAGATTGGCATGGGGACTAGCAGTGAAAAGAAATTCAAATAACCAATGTGGGACCCTGTTTTTATTTTTATGATAGCATCCAAAGTGATCGTTTTCTTCTTTATCCTTGGGAACCTATGACTCCTCTATATATCTCTCTAAACGGCTATAATGATTAATCATCTACATATCAAAACTTTCTTATTTTAATTTCAAGCACTGGTTTTTCTTTCACCTACCAGTTTAGACCCTTTGTTGTTTTTGCAGGGTTCGCGCAGTTTATCTGACAGAATTGACGGGAGATCTTCTAAGTACAGAGTTCACAGAGAGTCTCTTCAGCAGCGCCTGGATGACACCAAGTACAGAATCCCAAGCTTCCAAGTAATGCCCTTTATATACACTTTCAGTCTTTGGGCATTATTCATGTTTATGGCTACAGCTTTCTAAGTAGCTTTTGCAGGTTTTGTGTAAGGGTACTACTTATAAAAGAAATTTCTTGATGTAGGAGATAGATTTTCAATTCTGTAGAAGTAGAAAATAAAAATCCAAAGACTGTGTTTATAACTTCTTACCTGAGAACTCATCTTTAAGTTTATGCCATTGTTGCTTAATATGTTGTTTGTCTATGGGAATTGATGCTGCTTAAGAAATCCTGAGCCAGGAAACCTCTGGTCTCTTGATTGGTCAGAGGCTTAGTGTGGATGGTGGCCCCTCTCAGTACGTAAGTTCAACTACTCTGGGTGCTGAGATCCCCAGTAGGTGAAGTAACATATAGTCTTTCATAGCGTTGGCATTTATAGTCATTCCTTTCATAAGAATAAGAACTCCATGTTACTACTTCAGCCTGTGGTTCACTAGTGTGGAATCAACATAGGAGAGTGGGAAGATCTGACCGTATTGACAAAAAGCCTACCATTCCCTAGAGTCTGTCCAAGATCCATGTGGGGTATGGGTGACTTTAAACTCATTTGACCCTGAACAGTTATTAGCCTAGAGCAGGGCTTCTTAACCCCGGCATTAGTGACATTTGTGCCAGGTAATTCTTTGTTGTAGAGGCTGTCCTATGCATTGTAGGATGTTTAGCAGCATCCCTAAGAATCTACTTACTAAATACCGGTAGCATTCCCCATCCCAGGTTGTGGCATCTAAATGTGTCTCCAGATATTGCCAAACATCCCCTAGAGCAGCGGTCCCCAAACTTTTTGGCACCAGGGACCAGTTTTGTGGAAGACAGTTTTTCCACGGACAGGGCAGGGGGTGGGGGGGGGGAGTGAGGGATGGTTCAGGCAGTAATGCGAGCGATGGGGAGCAATGGGGAGCAATGGGGAGCGGCAGATGAAGCTTCACTTGCTTGCTAGCTGCTCACCTCCTGCTGTGCGGCCCGGTTCCCAACAGGCCATGGACGGGCACCAGTCCACAGCCCAGGGGTTGGGGATCCCTGCCCTAGAGGGCAAAATTGCCCCCCATCGAGAACACTGACCTAGAGAGAATCCATCTATATTCTAATGTACACTCCAAGTCGATTCAGAAAATAAAAAAACACTAAAGGTTCTTTTGGCTTTTTTATACTCTTACAAACTTCAATATATATGAATATTCATTACACTGTATATATTCACTTATTTCAGCCAAATATAATTATTTTTAAGATGCTTCTTGCCTCCTCTGAATGTAATTGGATAGAATGCTCAGTGGATATAAAGACAGTATTCATTTACATAAGTCCTCCCTAGCATGCTTAAAATGAGCACTTCACTTCTCCATCTCAAACAAAAATTTAACACAGTTATGCCATGTTATTTATACCCTTATTGTAAAGAGGGCGTCCTGGGGCTTTGTGCTTTTTTACCTTTGCTTTTTATATTGGTATTATTTACTATATTAGTGACCTTGCTGTCTCATATGGTGAATTTTAAATTGTCTTCCAACATTCTCATCAGGTCCCATATACTCAAGCATTTCTCCACCACTGAGAGGAGTGCCACTAACTTTAAACAGAAGTGAAAGGCTTAGGTAACAAGAGCTAATAATAATAACGACTCATTATTGAGCATATACTAGAACAAACTACATAAAATTGCTCTTTTTGTATGTGTCTCATGCTTTATGTGCATTACCTCATTTAATCCTCACAGCAACCCTGTCAGTTGGCACCATTATTTTTCCATTTTTACCATTGAAGGAAACGAAGTTATAGGGCAGTTAAGTGGTTGAATCAGGGTTCAAACCTAAATCTGCCTGGCTTCAAGAATCTATATCCTTGAGCAGCAGGCTATTATAGTATAAATTTGTACCTGATATTCCTTAATTTTTTTAGAAGTCACCAAATGTAGGGACTATATCTTTAATAAATAAAAGTCAGTTGTCTCCAAAAGTACATAAACACATTATATGCCTCTTAATTCAATAGAGGTCTGGATGCAAATGAAGCATTAAAAACATTATTTCCCAATACAGTTAGATCCGGTATTAGGTAAGTCAGCGCTGTCTAGTGGCACCCAAATTGCTATAAATCAATGCAATTTCCATAACAGCATATGGCAAAGCTATGAATGTTTAACACGTTCAGCCAGTAATCTCATTGGAGTTCTCTTTAAAATTACATTTGCAGCTGAAGAGGAAATCAAGCCTGGTTTGTGAGGCCAACACTTATCAGAATGAGAAATCAGGTTGAAAATTTTGCAAATAGGCAGTACAAATATAAGGAAGAGCCACAAAGCACATTTTGTGATGACATTGTCCCACATTAATACTAAACATTTTTAAATGTTAATCCATTTTACTGATGAATATGTAGGTTACTATCACGTGCAGCAGAAGTCTGGCCTGAAATAATGTAGCGATCTAACACAAAACTCATGAGAATATCACATCTTTTGTAGTCATTGTTGAGAAAAATGTGAGAACGCATTTTTGTGAATTGTAGATACCAATGATCATTTGCTTGTATGCTTTTTATGAAAATAAGTTATTTATCAAGAATGAGAGGGGAGGCATGGATAATCAGAAAAGCTACCTCTGATTAACTATGGACATCTTGAAGAAAATAATAAGAGGCATTGAGACTCTTTCTATCAAGGGATAAGGTGTCCCATTTACTACATCAGTTTCATAAGATGTTATTTCAGCAGCTCTTGACTTCTGTCATATTTTGCTAGGACAGAGTTCAAAGAAAAGGCTCTTGAGTTCATTGGTTCCACTATAAACTCTGGTTCCAGGAAATCAGTTAGTGTAGGATTCAGTTTAATGCAACAGACATAGACTATACAGATACTATGTTGCAAAAGCACTGCACTACCCGTTGGAGGTGGGAGTGGCAGGATGTACAAACATGCAGAAGGCATGGTCTTCAAGTAGGGAATAGTAATCTAGTCCTCTTCATCCTTATAGATAATTCTTGCACAGTTGTTTGAGAGCACAGTTTGGCAAACTACCACCCGTGGGCCGAACCTTGCTTGCTGACTGCTTTTGTAAGTAAAGTTTTACTGGAACACAGCCACTTTTATTTATTCACATGTTGTCTGTGACTGCTTTCATACTCAGTGGCAGAGTTGAGTAGTTGCAACAGAAACTGTATGGCCCACGAAACCTAACATATTTATTATCAAGCCCTCTACGGGAGAAATTTGCCAATTCCTGCTCTAGAGAAAGGAGAAACTACCAATCTACTCCTACTTCCTTTACACATTATGTAAAATATTCTCTTTTCTTTATTTACCAAAACTCTTTATTTACCCAAGCTCTTTATAAAGTCATAATACTATCCATTCACTCAACAAATATTTATTGAGTTTCAGCTATGTGCCAGGAACTTTCTAGGCCCCTGGGACTCACGTCCGTGAACAAAACAAAGATCCCTGCCTTTTAGAGCTTCTGTTCTAGTTGTGAGATGTTCAAGTTTGCTCTCGTTGTTGTTAAATACAACATTCAGCAAACCTTTACTAGGTTTACATTGTGTATAAAGCGCTGTGCTGGAAGCCGGAGAGGATGACGGCATAGTAAGAAGAGCCATTGCCAGTCCTTAGGAACCCAGAGTCTTCACACAGACAACTGTAGTACAAAGGAGAAAGGGGTACATGCTGTAAGGGTGACCCAAAAAAACTGCAGTGGGAGTTCAGAGAAGAAAGATGCTCTCAAGTCTTGAAAAGAGGCTTGTGATGACAAGGTACAGGGAAAAGGATCACTATTAGCATTACAGTTGTAGACCCCTGACTGTATTACTGTTAGCAGACAAATAACTGTTGGACTAGCAGAACTGTATTGGCAGCTGGCTGCTCTCATGTCATTGCTGATGTCAGAAGGCAGTGAGACATCCAATATGGCCACACTGCTGGTGGAGGGGAAGTGTAGCAGAAAGTGTACAAGTCAGGTTCTCTTTCAATCCAGAAAGAGAACCAACTCCTGCTGTTTACTCCCATGGCAATCACCAGGACCAACTGATCAGATTTCTAGAAACCTATTGAGAGTTTTAGCAGGACCAATGTCCACAACTGCTGAGAGCATAATGTAATATATTGTACTAAGCTTACCAAGTTAACTGGTCAAAGCCTGATCTAAAAGTTTAAATTTAGAATTCAATTCAAAGCTGAATCTGACCCAGATTGTCTCTGTGTAGACAACAGAAACATTTCACAGCTTCCCGTTCATGAGGCCTAACTGGGTTTCTGTAGGACATACAGACTTCCTTGCTGTCCCAGCTGTTTCAAATAGAACAGAATGTTCAAAAGTCAGCCAATAACACAGCATTGCTAATCTGAATTCACGAAAGAGCATGGTTTTGTCCAAGATATTCCCATTTGCTACCTGCCCTTTTTGCTCTCTACCCATGCTGAATATATGGTTTTAATTAGCAGTGGATTTTTTAGTAAAATCACAAAAGGCATATTTTGTTCCCATCCTTCCTCCTCCTGAAAAAAACATCATGATTTTCAATTTCCAGTAGAAGAGTTCATATGCAATTTCTTTTTAAAGAAGCAGATTTTTACAGGATAAGATGAGGTAGGTGAGGAAGTGTTGATAATGGCTTTCAGCACAGGTTTTGAAGCCAGAGTTTGCCGAAGCCCTTTGTCATATTTGTTCAATGTAAGCATGTGTATGCTATAAGAATGTGCTTTGCTCCTGGAAGCTATTTCTCCCTCCTTGAATCTCTCCGTGGTTTGTTTATGCTTTGCTCATAGCAATTAATGGCTGTTAGCACTTTCTTTCTAAGGTCAGCTATTTCTGTACATATCTTAAATCTTCTACAATTGTAGCTTCTGAAGCACGCAATGCATAACTCCTCGTGCAATTCAAGACTGTAGGTGATTTTTATTTAATGACTACTAAAATATATCACCAGTGTATTATTCAGATAATTTTACAAATATTGCTTGGGAACAGTA